GAGTTAAAAACATAGAATTTTATTAAAAATTTATTTTATAAATTAATAATTATGAAAAATCAAGTGTTATAATATAACATGAATACATTTAAATAACAAACATTTAAAGTAACTTTTCAAAATTCAAAAAATATCATATCTTAAACCATGTCTTTAATAGTTAATTAAACACACAAAAAAGATAACCACAAATTATTTATAATTGTAAAACACAATGATGTAACTTGTTATCAAAATAAAATATAAAGTTTGAATTATAAATATTTGTTTAAACTTCTTAATTGAAAAAATTGTTTTCTTTGATAAAAGTTATATAAGTTTTGAAAATGATAATTATTAAAAACAAAAATTCAATTAAAATGTATTTCGATGTATTATTTATAAGATAATAATAATGTTAGTATTAAATATATTAGTTTTTGGATATATTATATAATCTAAAAGATTTTATGTTATAATTATTTATTTTTGACAATCAACAATAGTTTACAATTGAATAAACAATATGATTATTATTTTAATATATCAACATAAGTTAACATTTAATTAATTGTTTTTTAATTTGTCATTGTAATGTTAGTGATTCTGGAACGGGTTCAAAATAATAATGTTTCTAAATTTAAAAAATTTGGAATAATCTTTTTGGAATTGAATATTCGGGATTGTAAGTTCGGGATTATATTAATTTTATTTTAGAAGATCGGGTGTTCCTGGACCCAAATTAATATGTTTCTTTTATTTGATTTCGGAATTAATTCTGGAATACATTTGAACAAAAATAAATAATTCCACAATATTTTTTTTGAAATATTCGGGCTTTATTTTATTTCAACAACATTATTTGGGATTATTTTTTTATTTAAGACTAAATTTTTGGAATTTGGCCATACTCTAATTGTGAATTGGTATATGATTTGGACCAAATTGCCAAATAAAACAATTAAAACTTGTATATAAATGTTTTTTTTTCATTAAAGAAATATTGATCGGGCTATTTTTTGCTGTTCAAAATTTGGTTAAACCTAAAAATATAATTTCAAACCAATAAAAGTTGTTCATAAAATAAATATAAGATGGTTTTGTTTATAAAAAGAAAATCATCAAAACTTATTAAAATAACATATAAAATCTATTTAAAATTGAGTTTACAAACAATCAATTGATGTTTCATGTAAATAAAGTTGACACCCAAAATTTGTACTATTTGTTTCTTCTTGGTATTAGTAATTAAAATGTGTTATATTTATTTTTTAAAAAAACATGTATATAAAAAAATTCATAATAAAAAACTATAAATACACTTTTAATCAATAAATACCTTTTTCGATAATTCCATTTAATGTTCTATTTATACACATTGGGTTTAACCAATATTAAATACAAACAACATTCAAATTCAAACTTTAAAATACACAATGAATAAGTATTTAATACAAGTTTACATACTAATAACATCAACTATCATTTGTTTTTCATCTCCACAAAATTGTAGCTTTTCGAAGACGATTTCAAAAAATATTACAGTATCCAATACATGTACAGCATACGATAACGTTACTATTGGTTTAATTGCATCTTCGGATATTATTCAATTCGAAATTGTATCTTATGCAAATATTCAGATGAATGGTAATGTTACATGTGTAGGAAACGGCTCAGTTGTTCAATATGTTAATTCGAATTTAAATTTGACACAAAAAACTTGCTTTTACAATTCATCAAAAATGATAATGAGTGAAAATTCTCAATTAACAACAAGCAAAGAAACCCTTTATTTCCATCTCTCTCAATTGATAATGAAAGACAACGCAACAATGTTTTTAAATGGGGATTTTGCTATTTATAACAATGTTGTATTTGTTATGCATCAAAACTCGTTTATTAAAACTAAAAATAATTTCTATATAAATGATGCTTCTGAGTTCATAATGAATGACAATTCAATGATAAATTCAACAAGTAATTTTTATATTTATTCAAATCTGATTATGAATTCATATTCTAAAATTAATGGAGTTGCTTTTTTACATTTATACAAATCACATATAACACTCAACAACAATTCTGAAATAAACATTTTATCATTTCAAGCTGAAATCATAAAGTCGTATTTAACATTGAATGATCACTCTGAAATGAATTTTGCTTCATACGAAGTTGGAAATGAAAAATCTTATATAACACTAAACGATTTTTCAAAAAGTAAATTTAAACGTTTTTATGTTCACAAAGGAGGCGTTATCACACTGAATGGAATGACAGATACAGCACAAATGACAACAAAATCATTACAAATTGGAAGTTGTTTTTTAAATTGTGGAATTTTTGATAGTAACATATATACATCAGTACTCAATGTGACTGGAAAGTCTTTTATCAGTGTTGATACCAAATTTATTTTTGTCAAGTCGACACTTATAATAAACAACAGGGATATCAGAGATCTTCCTGTTGTGTTTTATTCAGGTTCAAACCCATTAAATATAACCAACTCCACTATAAAATCACAAAATGATTTTGACGTTATATGTTCACAGACAGCAATAACTAATACAACTTTAGCTGGTATTAAGTTGTTATTGGGTGGTAAATTATTGAGATATGGCACTTCAAATAAATTTTTTTGTCACGTTGAGGGAGTGACAAACAAAATTATGAAGTACAGTGAACCATATTGTCCATGTGGTGGCACAGAAGATTGGTATATCACTCCACTTCCAAATGTGACTTCATTGTATGTTGAAATAAATCCAACAAAAACAATTACAAAACCACGATTTAAAACAAATGACAAGTTTTCATCAGAAAGTGTGTCAATTGGTAACACACAAATTTCTTTATATAAAACAGACAATTTAGTTCTTGGTATTTCAACACCAAAAACAGTTGGTATTAATTTGGTTACATTGACAAAGACTGTGCTTTTCGTTTCAGAGACAAAATTGACAATTGAAAGCGCACAATTTAACGCGGCGATAAACACAAAAAATGGTATAAAAATACTTGAAGTTGTTTTACGGTGCACCAATGGAATATACAACAAAACGTCTCAAAGATGTGAAGACCCAACTATTTGTGATGACATAAATTGTAAATATTGTCCTTATAATAAAAACAGTTGTATTTCATGCAAAAATCAATTTGCTAATGTCAACTCTAAATGCGAACAAATAACAAATTGTCAATTATTAATATCAAATAGATGCCTCAAGTGTGCAAATAAATTTTTATTACAAGGTGGGTTGTGTGTAAGTGATGAGATTTGTTTACTTGAACAAATAGATGGGAAGTGCCAGATATGCAACACAAACAATGGGTACATTAACAACAATGGCAAGTGTGTTAAAAGTGAAACAAACAGTGAAGTGATCACTAACTACAATATTGTTTCTTGCAACAAAGGTTTCGTATCCAATACAACAAATTGTTTGAAATGTAATGAATTTTACACAAATTCAGAAATATGTGAAAATGGAAAGGCGACAAAATGTGATAATTTGAGTGAAATGAACACAAATGGAATATGCGAAAACAAAGAATGTGTAATTCCAAATGACCAAAATGGGAGATGCACAACAACAATTGATAATTGTAAATATCTATCAAATGGTAAATGCAACGAATGTGAAAGTTCGTACATCTTAAATAAAAATAAATGTAACAATAACAAAGAACAAAATTGTATTGTTCAAAACAATTTTGGGTGTTTGAAATGCGATGAAGATTATTATTTTGATGAGTCAACAAAACAATGTGAAAGTTGTGATTCAAATTGTTTGACGTGTTTTGAAACATCAACAAAATGTCTCAGCTGTTCACAAAACACATATTTGTCAATTTACAAATGTAACACAAATGAAGACTTAAATTTGACGTGTGACCGGTATGCAAGTTTTGGAAGTGGCTGTGTTGTGTGTAAAGACGGGTATTATCGAGTTGGACTTGACTGTTTTGAATGTGATTTAAAGTGTGGAAAGTGCCTTAACACAAATAGTTGTCTCACCTGCAATTCAACCAATTACAAAACAACTGGCGGTGATTGTTTGCCACAAAGTGATATTGTTGGGTGTGCTGTGAATGTCACACAAAGTGGGTGTTCAAAATGTCAAGATGGGTATTATACAGTCAACACAAATGAGTGTCAAAAATGTGATGATAACTGCAATACATGCACATTAACAAGCAATAAATGCACTTCATGTGTTGATTCACTTGTGTTGCTTGCAAATGGAAGTTGTGTTGGTGTATCACAAATATCTAAATGTCAAGAAATAACACATTCAAAGTGTTCAAAATGCTTATTTTGGTACAGCCCAAATAAAGACGGCACAATGTGTAGGTCGCAAACTGTTTGGTGGGTCATTCTTATTGTTGTCATGTTTGTACTCATTGTGTTATTTGTTCTAATCGTGACAATTGTAATTGTTACAAAGATCATTCTCAACAAAGCCCACACACATAAAATTGAGAAGACAACAACACTTTTTGCAATGAACAAATCCAATATCAACTTTGTTCCTCTCCAAGGCGGTGTCTGTGTTTCTTCAAACGTGATCGACTTGAATTCAGACATCGAGCAAATAGAAGTTAACGAAGAGACGCGGCAGGTGTTGTGTGTTGGAAATACAAATAAAACTGCCACCAAAATACAATTCACAATTGCATCAAACATCACAAAGTTTACAATTCGTGTTGATCCAGAAGTTGTCACACTTAAAAGTAACTTTGCATGTGAATTTTCTGTATTTGTCAAGCCGTTGTGTTCGTGTAAAATTAACAACACAATTCAAATTATTTCCAAAAACCTCAAAACAAATAAAGAGAAATACAACGAAATCTCACTTGTCGGTGTGACACAACAATCAACGCGAATTGATTATGACGAATTAACAGAAGACAAGAAACTTGGTGAAGGCTCGTTTGGTGTTGTTTTTAAAGGAAGTTTCAGAGGAAATGTTGTTGCAATTAAAAAGATGAAAACAGTTTTTGATGATAATAAGTTGATGGACGAATTTGAAAATGAAGTGTCAATGCTTGACAAGTTTAGGTGTGAGTATATCGTCCATTTCTACGGTGCCGTGTTTATACCAAGCAATGTGTGTATGTTAACCGAATTTGCACAATATGGGAGTTTGCAAGACTTGATGAAACACAAAACAAGTGATGATGTTGTCATGAAA